AACTTCTTTTGATTTTGATCTACCATATGGTATAAAGCTAGACATTATAGTCATTATAAATTATTTAAGGCGGAGTTCACTTGAATGAAACTTAAAGTCAAGGATAGATTTATTGACGAGTAACGCTAATTGTTGTTGTGGCTGGAAAGACAACTTGTGAACAAAAGATGATATTAGAGCTCTGCCAAAAGCACACTGACACTTCTCGAAACAGAGCAAGTTCTTGAAGATTTGGTCAAAGATTCATCTTTCAGTTTTGAATTATACAATCACCCAACTCCTCTAATGAAAGTATTTTAGTTTTGATTGATCAAACTACCTGATAAAGCGCCAAAGAATTACCATTACAAACACTTACCAAGACAACATGGAAATCCACTCTGCCACACAAGAGACTTCACAGAGAGTTATCGAAGGATGCAACGCGCTCAAATTTGACTAAGCATGTACTAGTGCCAGCTTCCTTCGGGTCGCAACTTTGCCTTTTTGTCACGCACTCGATGAGGTGGTCACTCGCCACTTTGCCTTTTGTCACATACTCGCAGCCGCAGTCACGTTGATCTAACAGAAGGTTATTGCAAGACTTACAAGGATGGCCACTTTCGTATACTACGAGTTTAATAAACACCTCACAGCAGAAACGTACATTTTGAGAAACTGCAGAATACTCTAAGCTGAACCCCTGAAGGACTTAAAAGAACTGGCCGTACGCGGAGCTCGCCGTACGCTTTATCCCCAAGGGAGCTCCAGCAGGCCTTCCGTCCGTACAGACTCTGGGGGAAGGGGGAGGGGAGTCTCAGCGGGTAACCCGAACGGGTCAGGGGAGCCCAAGAATGTCATCTTTTTTTGGAGGGAAAATTGGACAGCCCGCGTTTTTCTGGCAGGAAAAAATTTTGAAAGAGCGAGGTTTTTTATTCCGTAAAACAGAATTTCTCCAGAAAAGAAAACTCATTTCTTTTCTGTAATACCGAACAATGCCGTGAGGCAGAGCTAGCCAGGAACAGAGAATGATGGCGAAAAGATTAGTTCGGTTCTGTCTTCCACGACTTCCACGTTATGGTGGAAGTTTCTGCCAGGAAGATTCACACTGAATTGAATTACCAAACTGAGGTAAGCGAATGTTGTAGAAACTTTCGTCGCGTTTTCCATAAAAATTTTCCGAGTTGCTTCGGCGGGATGTGTTTATCTTCAATAGGAGATGTATAATTGTAAGGTCTTCCTGATTTGAAACCATGCTGTGAGACATTTTATAAATTTCATTGCTTTATTTCTTGTATCTCTAAGCAATAATATTTGAGTCTCTTTGTCGAAGTTGTTGTAAGCTTAACTCCATATTAAAAAAACCGAATAGGTTTTCTGTCGTTTTTGGCCCATAACCTCATGTCTAAAAGTAATAAAACTGGATAGGTAAATACT